AAGTGTCAGAAGTATTCTGGACACACAGCTGGACATTTTGAAGATCTTCTGAGAAAGCGGCGTACGAATTACTGTGTGTTGTATTATCCCGAAAAGGTCGTATACCTCAAAGACAGTGGACTGTTATTTTTTCTTGAGGAGTTTATGCAGAGCTGGAGAGTCCTATAGATCCGTTATACTGGGCCTTTACATCGAGTTGCCGATAGGAACGTTAAAATCTAGGGGAGCAGATTAACGAAAAAGCTAATTTTGGTGTACCCTGTATAACCGCTGCAATTCTCAGAATGATTACGCGTGGACCAGAATCTTCGATACGAGGATTTACAGAACATACAATATGTATCTTAAGAAATAGTACTTGGAACACGCGAGTTCGGAGAAAGGAAACCGATATTAACTTACAGAAATTTACTATTGACATATTAAAGGAGTATTATGAAAATTATCCTGAAGATAAAGTTTCCGAGTTATAATCGATAATTACTCAAATGTAGTCCTAGTTTGCTCACAAATTAAATTTAGTTATGCACGACATTTTGGAAAGCAACGAGACCCTTTCGGAACTAGCAGTTGTACCTAATTAATGTATCAAAACAACAATGTGAATTTTTTTAACGCTCTAAGTTAAATAGTAAACTCTATAAATCTTTAAAACAGAATATACTAATTCAATGGAACGAAATAGAAGCCTAGAAGGTTTAAAATTCGTCATTGAAATCTTCAACTGATTTTTGAGGTATTTTTAGGAAATATTCTGAAAACTTAAATTCAGATTTACATCCCACCTTAAACAGATACTTTTTATGACGTTTTATGAATTGCAAATATGTACAAACAAAAAAACATTGTGGTGTAGGGTAGACCGGGGAATCCCGACATACGGGGCAATACCGACACAGTGGGGTTTGGTTTTATTTTTAGTTGAACACGTCACTGTATAGTGCTGCTGCCTAGCGAGTGGTACCACAGTTAGCGCTCAGTTAGTTTCTGTCTTCCAAGCTGACTAGTTATTTTATTCTAAATTGATATGTGTTTTATTAGTTTTTGATCTAATTATTGACTTCTCTACAAATAAAGGTAATTCTATAAAAAATTATATTAATATAAAAACACTTAGATAAATAGAAAGTGCAAATTGTAAAGATAATTTTAGTATAGTTCTTATTACGTTTTAACATTCAGTTAAGTCTGTATAATTGTATAACCGCCACCTTGTTCTACAGACCAATGGGGGGAAATATCGACAGATGTCGGTATTATATTTGATACCAAAGACGTTGTAATTCTACCGAAAAACCAGCCTTGGGAAGGAAATCGCACTTTTCAGAGAACAAGAAGCTATATTAGCTGATCACATCAAAAAACTATCAAATCAGTTTTATGGCATTACTTTGACAGACTTACGAGACTTGCGTATGATCTTGCTGAAAAGTTAAAGATAAACCATAATTTTAATAAAATGACTGGGGAGGGCTGGGTTTTTGGATTTCGTAAGCGGAATACTACCAAGCCTAAGACAATCACAACAACAATTCTGAACCGAGTTATTACAGAAACATTACGTTTGTCTGCCCTTTGAGTGCTTCAGATGCATACATACCGCAGAAGTTGATATATCTTAGGCAGAGAAGGCACCTTAGTAAGAGAAAGGTAGACCAGCTCCCATAATGGCTGGTAAAATGAAGACCTCTTCATGGAGTGGCTCACACATTTCAAACACAACGTAAAACCAACAAAGGAAGATCCCGTCTTATTGATCATGGACAATCATGGGAGTCACATTTCTCTTGATAGTTATAATTATTGTAGATCTAATCATATACGGAGTGGCCCAAAACTCTGGAAAAGGCCAATTATCTCGTAAATTGCTAGTTATAATTGTACAAAATTTAAGGTAAACCTATTTTGGGATAGGGAGATTCCATCTTTAATATTTGCAATGTTGCCAGATTTGTCGTTTCTCTTATATTATTAGTAACTTTGGTTTTCAAATTCATCACCCTGTATAAAAATAATCTTTAGGATTGAAATCAGGTGAACGTGAAAACCATTCAATTCTACCTTGTCTGCGAATCCATCGTCCAAGAAATACCTCTTCTAAATAACGCCGAACATTTACACCAAATTTTGTAAAATTATGAAAAGCAATTTACAATTTACGACTTACGAATTTACTAAATAGATACCGATCAGTTAGACCGAAAAGAGTTATAAATGAGAACAAGACTAGATATGGTGCAAAGTTTTGTTGAAGATCCACATACATCCTCACGCAGGATTGCACAAGTACATGATGTTGGTAGTTCTTCAGTCTTACGTGTATTACATAAGAATATTTATAAACGATACAAAATTAACTTATTGCAAGAAATAAGTGAAGATGACTTCGATCGTAGATTAGAGTTTACTTAGGTAATGATGGATAAAATGGAAAAGGATAAAAATTTCGTTAACAGAAAAGTTTTTCCGATGAAGCAACCTTTACTTACACTGTGTGGAAGTGTAAATCGACACAATTTAAGGTACTAAAGTGACGTAAATCCACACTTAATGCGTGAACACCAAACTCAAAGACCACAAAAATTAAATGTATGGTCAGGTATAGTAGGTACTCAGTTAATTGGGCCATTTTTTATCGAAGGAAATTTAACTTCAGATAATTACGAAATGTTATTTAGAAATGAAATTGTACTAAAAATAAATAAATAATAATACTTTTTAAATAAACTTGTTTGGGGCCAATTTTAATCAGATATGGGCAAGATGGAACTCCAGCTCATTTTGGAGTAAATGCTCGGGGTTATTTAGAAGAGATATTTCCAGGACGATGGATCGGTAGACGAGGTAGAATTGAATGGTCTCCACGTTCACCTGATTTCAATTCTAAAGAATATTTTTATTGGGGATACTTGAAAAATTCAGTTTACAAAACTAAACCACCAAGTCTTGCAGAAATAAGCGACGAAAAATCGATGAATCTCGAATAAATTCTAAACAATCATAGAAAAATGTGGTGGACGCAGTCTACCATCGATTAGGGTACTGTTAACTCACAAATAGAGCACATTTTAAACACTTGATAAAGTAACCATTGTGTTAAAAAATGTTGTAATCTATCAATTGTTACGTTTTAATGTAGTTAAAAATAGTTAGTATTAAAACATTTATTGAGACAATTAGGCGTTGCCAGACTTCTGTTTTATGTATTTAAGACCTTTCAGACTACATAAAATCATAAGTGTTACATAAGGTTGAACTCGTATTGAAAAGAAGATTCCAATAATGAGTGAATATACAGGGTGATGAATTTGAAAACCAAAGTTACTAATAATATAAGAAAAACGGCTAATCTGGCAACATTGCAATGGAATTATGGAATTTTGTTTAATTATGTCTGCTAATTTACGAGATAATTGGCCGTTTCCAGACTTTTGGGTCACTCTGTATATGTTCAATACCACCTCACATATCACATAAACTACAGCCTTTGGATTATGGCCCCTTGAAGAAAGCATTCAACATACAGTGTGACAGGCTCTTAAGAGAAAAATAATTTCAGAAGATTTCTATGTATGATCATATGATGTATCTATATTTAATCAAGCTTACTTAAAAGTCGCAACGATGGATAAAGGAGTTTCAGAGTTTAGTGCTTCAGGGATCTTACCGTACAGCCCTGAAAAATTGACTGATATAGATGATATAGACTTTGTCACTAAACCAGGTACTCAAATTGGAGTCATCGAGTGGGGAGTTTGCAAGAGCTAACGAGACTTGTGTCAAAGCTTATCAGATTTTAAAACATGATCCAAGAGATACGTTACAGAAATTTGGAACCAAGACAACAACCAGCTTAGACTTAAGTGGGATTTATAAAAATATATTACCTGGTAGTTCGAAAACGAATGTTGTACCAAATTCTTGTCCAAAATCGTCTAAGAATCTGTCTCATTTTAAAGATATTTTAGAATCAGTATCACCTCTTCCAAAATAATTTAATGATGATAAACCAAATCCAAAAAATTCCAGAAAATAACACTGGTTAATATAACATAACATAATAACATAAATAATTATGGCTGGTACCCCTATGAATCCGGTTTTGAAAGACACAAAGAAGAAAAAAGAAATTAGGGACTTAAAAGACAAGCGTAGACTAGAAAAAGTTATACAGGATCCAAAGGTCAACCTTAATCTGAAGCTAAAAATCTTCGAGTAGAAAAAAGTAAACAATTAAAAGTTGAAAATAAATCCCAAATAAAATTGGGCGCACTAAAACGCAAAGCTACAAACAAACGAAGAAGGTGTCGAAGACAAATTAATTTTGGAGAATCGTCTTTCGAAGAAAATATAGATGAATCAAAAATATGTGATGACAACGAATTTGATGATAGTTTTGAATTAATTTCCGAAAACACTGAAATGTGTTTGGTTTGTGGTGAGTTTGGTGTAAAAACTGAACTATGGTACAGATGTGTGTTTTGTGGACAATGGGCTCACGCTGAGTGCAGGAGGTATGATTGCCCTGAAAACTATCAGTGTGACTTTTGTTCTACGAACTAACTCCTTTTTTGTAGAAACAACTTGTGATTTTTAATATATCTTCTTATGTATTTGCTTATCTTGTTTTCGTTCAAGTATTTAATGTTTACGTATAAAGCGATACCATCAGTTGTCATAAGAGCAGATACCATTATTTTCATATTATTACTACTGTCGGCATTACCCCAAAAGTCTGTCGGAGTTACCCCGGTGATCGGGGAAGTACCGACACTCAGCCAAAGTTGGGGAAATATTGTTTTTAAATATGTAAATGACATTGTTTTACCAATATTACACATCCAATGGGTATTTTCATCAAAAACCTAACTAATAAAGAATAAATCTGAAAATTAAAATTGTCTTAAGGTGTCAGGATTCCCCCGGTTTACCCTATATCATAAATTTTAATAAATTAATCTAGTTATATCATTTCTAAAAATTATCACTGTTTAACTTACTCTATCGGATTTAATGTTTCTCCTTTCATCTTTAAATCCAGAAAGTGTGTATAATTATATTTACTTGGAACTGCCTTGATTTCTGGACAAATAGTTACTGCTGGGAAAGGTATTCTCCAATTGGGTGTGTCTTTTGTAGCAAAGCTGACGATCACCGGCGTATTTTGCCATTTACTGTAAGCGTTCAGAACCAATTTGGTACATATATACAGTGAAATTATCATACTGATTGCCCACCATATTCTGAAAAATCGATAAATTAGATACAAGAAATTATATATGTATAATAGATATACCCTAAAGCTGAAATTTACTCAATTTCAGCTCTGGGTCAACACCATCTTCATACAGGTCACAAAATTGATTTTGAAAACTCCAGAACCCATGCTACGTATGGTCAATGCTGCTATATGGCGTAGAGGGCTGGACACTCAAAACGAGGGATATAAACAGATTAGGAGCTTTTGAAATGTGGCTTTATCGCCGTATCCTAAAAATACCATGGACAGCGAAAATCACAAATATAGATGTCCTTAAAAGAATAAACCAAGAACGCCAACTTTTCGAAACCATCAAGAAAAGGAAAACGGCGTATAGGCCACATCATGCGAAATGAAAAATACCAGTTCCTCCAACTTATAATCGAGGGTAAAATTGAAGGCAAAAGAGGAATGGGACGAAAGAAAATGTCCTGGCTCCGAAACATAAGACAATGGACAGGGATTAACAACATACAATCTCTGATACATATTGCAAGAAATAGAGAATTAATGGAAAATGTGATCGCTAACATCCATTAGTGGATTTGCATCTGAAGAAGAAGAAGAACCATAGCCCCCATCCGCTTCTATAAACCAAGAATTATCCGAGAAGACATAGAAATAGAAAAAAAGGTCAAATTGTCTTAATAAAAGAGATGATCCCTTAGGGTTACCTTCGACTTGGAGACCTCCCATAATGAAAATATTGTCAGCTCCAACCGTCAATCAAAATCCTGCATTCATTCACCCTACATAACTGTTACTAAATTCTGCTGCTTAACTCAAACAAATGTGTTTTTGTGGATTCCAATGTACAGTCTTTTATGACACAGTACAGTTTTTTTTTCAAAGAAATATCTTAACATAAAAATAGCTTAAAGCAAAATTGTGGATTTTTCAACCAAAGTGGGATATCCCTCAATAGTAGTACTTTTTAAAACTTGACCATATCTCTAACAATGGCTTTGAAAGCCGAATGCACTTCAAAAATACTTTTGTTTTTCCATTCTTTAATTTACTAAATAATTATAACTGGTGTATTATAAATCTTACAAATAAAATAATATAGTAATAAAAATATTACTGCATACATAAATCTGTATAATTTTCGAATAATATGTAGTAAATAAAATTCAATCAAAAGATCACAAAAATACATTTACAAAAAGATGTAAATATTTGTACTTACTTTTCTGCAAATGTTCTATTCTGTCCAAGATATTTCAGTCCATGAAGTGATCCTTCACGACAGTATTCCAAAATATAGTATTTACAATTTTCTACCCAGGTATAGTGTTTCTCCTTTTGTCTCCTCTCCTCTTCTTCTATATCAAAATCAAATTTTTCCGACTTCATTTCCGGCTTTTTTAAGTTCTATCTCTATCATACCTGCATCAGAAAATAAATAACTGTGCTGATTATTGTACCGGGAAGTTACCAATAATATTTCCAATTATTGGTTTATTGTTATTTATTGTTTAATAATGTTTGCAATAAAAGCCTGGCTGAAAAAATATGAATAGAATATTGTGTTTCGACGTTATTATTAACTGAAATAACCAGTTTCACAAGAATTGGAGATATTTGCAATTATTGTATATTCAATATAATAATTTTACATTCTAACATACATGCGTATTTGCAGCACTAACTTCCAGAGAAAGGTTATTTATAAATAAACATGGAAATTATCAGGAGTTAAGGAAGACACCGTGCACTATTCTAAAAAAGAATCTAAAAAAATCCATACTCACACGGAAAAGATGGAAAACCTCAGTAAGAAACGTAAAATCTATTAGTGAAACACAGTGTGGATCAGATCATAAGCTGCTAAAAATGAACTTCAGGCTCAAACTACACGCAACTAAACAAATACATCTTACAATACAGCTAACGGTAAGTATTGCGAAAGAATTCCAGATGAAACTGATAAAAAAAAACGACAAATATTAGAAGACACAAATACAATATGGAATAGAATAAAAATATGATTACATTTGGCGGAAAAAGAGAGCACACCGCATAAAATTCAAAATAACAAATATTGGATAGCAGGAGAAACCTTGGAATTAGTAAAAGAAACAATACTTATGCTACAACATACCACAAAACCAGGAAACAGCACTCAACAAATAAAAAATGTTGTGTGTGTATTTTAACTATTGCTATTTTCCAATATGTTAGTATTATGTCTTTGTAAAGTGTTATTTATATTTCATATAAATAATATTTATATGTATTAGAAATTTATCTTGAAGGATTTTTGTTACTAGACGGATCTCCCCTGTGTTAATGTGTTAATTATGTAATAAACTTATTGATTTTTTAAAGATCTCTGTCTATGGTCATTTCTTTTAACTCATGCATAGGTTTTTTGCATATTCGTTTAATTTGATCGATCCATCTTGTTGGGGGTCTTCCTCGTGATCTTCGGACTTCTACCTTTCCTTGGATAATAAGTCTTTCCATCCTGCTACATATTATCAACGAACCGCTAAAGAATTTTCTACTCTCAGAGATAGCCGAAGAACAATGTGATTTCGTACCGGCGAAATGAACGCGTGAGCAGATACTGAACACTAGACAGACAATAGAAAAATCAAGAGAACACAATACACCAATGCTGCTCTACAATTAGACAAAAGTATTTGATTCAGTAAAATGGGATACCCTCTGGAGTATAATAGGATATATGGGAGTGTCTAACCACCTTCTGAAACTAATATGAAACTAATTTCAAAACATTAGTAACATGGGGGTAACAAGTAGGACAGAATACTTCAGGGCTTAGCAACCCTGTCCCTACGCCAGCTACCGTTTCTTTTCTAAGCTCTCCCTAGGATAAAAAGGTACCAATCCTATATCTATCCAACCCCAATGGATCCTTCCCTTCCCACACCTCCACCGGAAGGCCGTTAAATATTCTTGACGGAGGGCAGCAGCGATCGGCAGTACCTACTAAGAACTCGAATTCGAATCGTCGTCGAATTTGAAGCTGTGAGCGATAGGATTGTTCTCCCTAAACTGGAAGGCAAACCACATAAACTCAATATCATACAAGTTTATGCACCAACCAGTACAGCAGACGACATAAAAGTCGAGGAATTATACGAAAAATTGGAAATATCAATTAGCAACATTCCAAATAAAGGGCTAAACCTAATATACGGTGACTTTAACACAAAAGTCGACAATACTATACAGAATGACGTGAACTGGTGAACTACTAAAGAATGTACTGGAAAAGTTTGGCATAGGTCAGAAAAACGAAAGGGGAGACAAAAATTGATTTATGCAAAGAAATTGAGAGCCACAATCAAAACAATCAGCCACGAGATCTATTTAGAAAAATACGATACATAACAAAAGACTTTAAAGCCAGAAGTTGGCCGTTGAAGATAACACAAGAACGCTGATAACCAACAGAGAAAATATATAGCAGAGACATGGAGATTATACTGCCGGGATCTATATAAAGATGATCAACGCCAGGAACTTGTTCATCAAACTTCTGAAAAAATCTAAGAAGAACCTAAAATACTCGAGAATGAAATAAGACTGGCGATCAGTAAACTCAAATATAACCAAGCACCAGATCCAGATATGATAACAACAGACACAGAAAATATGAAAAGACTTATTATCCAAGGAAGGTAGAAGGCTCAACTCACGAGAAACATATCCAACAAGATTGATGGACATGAGTTAAAAGAAATGATCAGAGACAGAGATCTTTGGAGACAGACAGTATACGACATCACGATGATCACTATACTCCCTCTGGGAAGTCAGAATTGAAGCCAGAGTTCAAACCAAAAAAGGAACTAGACAGCGCTGCATACTATCATCATTATTATACAACATATATTCTGAATATGTAATAAGGTCAGTACTAGAAGAATAAGATGGAAAAATCATTATAGGATACAGAAAAATCATTAAGCGTAGACTAGCAATGACCTGAACCGCAACAGCTAAATTAATTAAAATATGGAAAGACCGAATAATAACAAGGAAGACTACAGGTTGCTCAATGCTCTCTTTTTCCCATTGCTACATAATCGGCTGAAGCATGGACTCTCAAAAAAATCGATAGAAGTAAGATCGAAGCTTTCGAATTGTGGATATACAAAAGAATTTTACTAGTGTCCTGGGTAGAACACAGAATCAACCTGTCAATTCTGGAAAAGCTTAATACAAAAGACAGGCTATTAAAAAAAATTAAACCGATCATACCTAAATTGCTTCCGCCATGTAGCCAAAAAAAACGGGGACTATGGAACTATTGGTAGTAGAATGAAAGGCAGAAGACCGAAGACCAAGAGAAAGATCTCAAACACAATGGACAGACCAAATGAAGACTGGTGGGCAAATCTCTACATGAAGCCGTCCATCTGGCACAGGATCGCAGCCAATGGAAACAACAAGCTAATAATATTTAGAGTGTCACCACGCCCTGACAAGGACTCGAGGAATGAGAAAGAAGAAGGAAGACAACCAAATTCACCACTTTCGCACATCAAAAAAATGGGCAACGGATATTTCAAGGTAAGTAGTTAACAATAATTTTTAATAAAGCCATAAGATTAGGACGAATACCTAATGAATAAAGAATCAATATTATGCTCCCACTGTTTAAGAAAGTTAAAAAATGACCCCTCCGCAATTGTAGAGGAATATATACATTTAAAAATTATTTAAAAGTAACTTCTCTAATATATTAGATGAACAACAAGGATTCAGAAGCGGAAGATTTTTTGGTGATGCGGTCTTTGTAACCAGACAAATAGTTTAAAAAAATATATAGATTATAATAAACCAGACTACATATGATTCGACGATTTAGAAAATGTATTCGATAAAGATTGGAGAGAATCTAAATGAAGACTGGAACATTAGCAAACAAATTAGAATAGGTATAGATAGGGCCACAGCTGCATTTTTTAAGATGAAGAAAATCTTATGTGGAAACAATATTGTCCGGTTTATAGCGTCTTGTATCTTTCGATTCCCAGTTTCTATTTACTGTGGCTGCCAATCCAATATTATCTTCGGTAGGATGGTCTCGTCATTATCTGTATATGTCAGTACCAAATAAGCTATTTTGCTGTATTTTTTCTATAATGGTATTTGTTCTGTTATGTATTATTACTCTTACATATTATGATGTCCAAAAAAAGCTACGGAAGTAAACAGAAGAGTTAAAAATTGCAAACTGAAACATGTTGGCCTTGTCATGCATCACCCAGATCGAAGAAAAAAATAAAAAGGTGATATCAAATTGGAAATAAAAATATCATGTTATGCAGATGATGCAGTTCTGATAGCGGAGCATGAAGCTGGGTGAAGCATATATTTACTAAGCGGGTCATAAGTTGAAAACATTTGATGGATTCGACCGTTACCACTTGAGAAAGGCAATCAGCCGAAATAGCTGTAGTGATAATATTTAAAATAAATTTTGTGCAAGTTTGAAAACAAAGTTTTCGGTGTTTTATTGTTACATGAAAAACATTTATTGGTTGTTAGGCAGAAAATCAAAACTATCAACTGAAAATAAAATATTAATTTACAAATCGATCCTGAAACTAGACTTGTGGACTAAAATTATATGGAACCGCCCCATATTCTAATATTGAAATAATACAAAGATGTCATGTACATTCCTTCAAAGAGAAATTCCACAAGAGCAAACTGGATTTACCAAAGGTAGAGGCACTCGAGAACACCTGCTGAATATAAGACAGATAATCGAGAAATCTAGAGAATTCAACATCCCACTATATATCTGTTTTATAGATTACCGTAAAACGTTCGACAGGGTCAAGTGGAGACACTTATGGCGAATACTAAAAGAAGTAGGCGTACCACAACATCTAATTACGCTTATAACTGAACTATATGAACACACTACTGGATCAATTAAAGTACTTGACACACTTTCGAACGAGTTTCATCCAGAACGGGGTGTCAGACAAGGATGTATACTATCTCCACAATTATTCAACATATATGGGGAGTATATTATGCGAAGAGTACTTGAAGGATGGGACAAGGGCATCTCAATAAATGGTCATAAACTAAACAACCTACGTTTCGCAGATGACACAGCCCTTCTTGCAAATAGTCAAGCAGAGCTGATGGAACTTATACGACTGATCGAAAACGAAAGTCAAATATTTGGTCTGCAATTAAACATATCAAAGACAAAGATCATGATAGTGGATATACTACACAACAATCATCCACACATAACCCCAATTGACCGGTTCGAGGTTGTGAGCTCATACTTATATCTGGGATCATTAATCACAAACACAGGGTCATTACAAGAAGAGATTAAACGTTGATGTGAT